CAAGAAACCCTTTACTGAGTCCATCATACCAGCACTTAGAAAGGTGAAACCAGCTCTAAATTATTCCCGCGCATAAGGATAATTAAAAGAATAGGATTTCCCCATCCCCGTAGGTCTCTCAGATCTCTCGGGTCACATGGGCCAATCAGTCCAGTCGTAGGCTCTCTCCCCCCCCGGCTTCGACAGGTGTCCATTGATATGACCTTGGCTAGCGACTGTTACTAGCCAGCTGTGGCACCACATTCCTCAGTGGTGCAAGGCTACTTCTGCTGGCTGCCGGCAATTTGGCAGTTCAAGTCTCACCAGGCTGAAGGTTGACTCAGCCTCCCATCCTTCCGAGGTGGGTAAAATGAGGACCCAGATTGTTGGGGGCAAATATGCTGACTCTGTAAACCACTTAGAGAGGCCTGTAAAAGCACTGTGAAGTGGTATATAAGTCTGTGTTCTATTGCTCTTCCTTTTTCCCCTCCCTCCCTTCGCAGTGGTTAGAATGCAGTATTGCAGGCAAACTCTGCCCACAGCCTGGAGTTTGATCCTGACCGGCTCAAGGTTGACTCAGCCTTCCCTCCTTCCGAGGTGGGTAAAATGAGGACCCAGATTGTTGTAGGCTGACTCTGTAAGCTGCTTAGAGAGGGCTGTAAAGCACCGTGAAGCGGTATATAAGTCTAAGTGCTATTGCTATTCCTAAATTCCTCTCCCCACCTTGAATGGCAACCAAAAAACGAAGCAGAAGTAAGCATGGCTTCAGTTGAAGTTGTTTTGCAGGATGACACACCATTTGTGACCTTCCAGCTTGGCTTCAAACAAGCAAAGTCACAATGGGAAGCCGGATTGGCTTAACAATTGCACAATTCACTTCAACGATTCACTTAACAACCAACGTTGTACAATCGGGCGTGAGTCACTTAATTGCCTTGCTCAGCAAAGGAAATTCTTAATCTTAATTCCAACTTAATCTCATAAATTGAGGAGGACCCATACTGTTTATGGCAAGGTAACTGATGTTTCTTCTGAACTTTCAGGAAACTTTTTCCTTTATGAGACATCCTCAGGAGACCTGGAATGAAGATCTGAGAAGGTCAGTTTTTCAGAACGAGGGGATCCCTCCGTCCAAACCTAAGGGGGGGCTCTTGCTTGACCTCCGATCTCAAAATGAAGACGAGCCAAGACAAGATGCCATTAGTTCTTTGGAAATCTCGATCAACGAGCAACAGTTGGATGAGGCTATTTCAAGAGTCACCCCCGGAAAAGTGTGGGATGGTAGTGAGGAAGAGCGGAGGAAGCTCATAGAAACCAAGATCCTTTCCAAAGCACCGTTGAGACCTCTTTCTGGCTCAGGCTCTCCAGAATCCCAAAATAAAAACGACGGAGGAAGAACGGCAGAAGTCAAAAAGGAGGATGCAGTTTTCTCAGCTGAGCATCCTCAGGGACTGACACTGTTTCACTTCAAGGTATGGATCGGAATATCTGGCTCTGTACAGGGGGTGCTTGATTTATGACCATTTGTTTAACAATAGTTTAGAATAGAATAACAGAGTTGGAAGGGACCTTGGAGGTCTTCTAGTCCAACCCCCTTGCTTAGGCAGGTAACCCCACATCACTTCAGACAAACGGTTATCCAATCTCTTCTTAAAACTTCCAGGGTTGGAGCTTTCACAGCTTCTGGAAGCAAGTCGTTCCACTGATGAATTGTTCTCACTGTCAGGAAATTTCTCCTTAGTTCTAGGTTGCTCCTCTCCTTGATTAGTTTCCACCCATTGCTTCTTGTCCTGCCCTCAGATGCTTTGGGGAATAGCTTGACTCCCTCTTCTTTGTGGCAACCCCTGAGATATTGAAAGACTGCTATCATGTCTCCCCTAGTTCTTCTTTTCATTAAACTAGACATACCCAGTTCCAGCAGCCGTTCTTTATATATTTTAGCCTCCAGTCCCCTAAATCATCTTTGTTGCTTGTTTGGTATTATGGTGCTGAAAAAAGTGATTCATCCTCAAAGTTCTGACTGTGGCACCATTTCTGCAGTTATGTGCTAGTTAATGTGTTAGTTAAGTTCCCAACATCTCTAGGGAGGACTAGAAAAGTTCTTTGTGGAAATACTAAGGAATGGCGCTAGCAATAGCACTTAGACTTATATACTGCTTCGTAGTGCTTTACAGCCTCTCTAAGCAGTTTACAGAGTCAGCCTATTTGCCTCAAACCATTCTAGGTCCTCATTTTACCCACCTCAGAAGGATGGAAGGCTGAGTCAACCTTGAGCCAGACAGCATCGAACTGCTGGAGTGGGCAGTGAGTCAGCCTGCAATACTGCATTCTAACCACTGCACCACCATGGCTCACTAACTAGAAACAACAAGACCAAGCTAGTCTAGGGGTGGGCAACTATGGGTCCTTTACGATCTGTGGACAACTCCCAGAATTCCTGAACCAGCCATGCTCAGACCTAGTTGAAGTCCACAAAGTCATAAGGGGCCATAGTTGCCCTCTCAACTCATAAAGCATTTGCATGGCTGTTATCAAGTTGCCATGGTAAGGAAAGGGGGGGGAGTGCATTCCATGCATACCTTCGGCTAGAGTCGGATCTCATTACTACAGCAGGCTTGTGAGGCGGTGAACCTCATTGGAGAATGTGATTTATGACACAGACTGAGGGGAGGGAAGAAACAGGGGCAAAGTTCAGACATAATTTAAATGACGTCAGATCTGACTGAAATGGGGTATTGCCGAAATGGTGTTCCTAATAAATGACTGGATTTCTTTTGAAACTTGGCCCGAGGCTCATGAATTAATTCGGGCATCTTTCGGAAACCCGACATCCCCATTGCTGGTTTAGTTTTATAAGCCTTTGGCAGTTGACGTTGGGAGGGTGATGGCACAATGGCCGAGGTGCCGATTATTTACAAGGCATGAATGTACCTGTGTACTAGCAGAGCAATGTAATATTTCTTTATGCACGAGGAGAATTGTGAATGACCAAGCCAGGTTATAAGAAGCTCCAACCACGCCCCAAAGCTGGAACTTTCCTTTGACCTAAGTCTGGCAAAGCTATGTTCTACTTTTGAACTGTAAACAGTCCTGTTTCAGAGCTCATGAGTTTATCCTGTTTCCTGAACATATCTCGGACCTAATACATTTATTGAAGGGTTGTAGCACCCTGTATAGGGATACAGTGGCTAAGACGCTGAACTTGTTCATCAGAAAGGTCGGCAGTTGGGCGGTTCAAATCCCTAAGGCCGCGTAATGGAGTGAGCTCTCGTTACTTGTCCCAGCTTCTGCCAACCTAGCAGTTCGAAACCATGTAAAACTGCAAGTTAGAAAAAATAGGAACCACCTTTGGTGGGAAGGTAACAGTGTTCTGTGTGCCTTCAGCTTTGAGTCCTGCCGGCCACATGACCACGGAGACATCTTCAGACAGCGCTGGCTCTTCGGCTTTGAAACGGAGATGAGCACCGCCCCCTAGAGTCAGGAATGACGAGCACATATGTGCGAGGGGAACCTTTACTTTTACTAGCACCCTGTAGCCAAAGTGGATTTAGGCATAATTTGTCATGCTTCTTTGGAAAGATGCTTTAAATGTAATTGCTATGGATTTGCCATCTTTACCTCCTCCCCACCCCGCAATCTCTGGGGTCCTTGCCAAGTCACAGTTAGCTCCAACCTGATGTGACAAATTAAGCTGGAGCATCTGATTAAGGACCAAAGCAAACTTTTGCTGTTTTAGAACAGAGCTCATTTTGGGGCGGGGGTGGGTATAGGGTGGTCTTCCATTTTTGGGAGGTTTAGCAGCCAAGAACCGCATAATGGCCCTTTTTTGGTTTCTGCTTTTAAGAGGCAACAAATAGATGGGAGTTTACAATGGAAACAACATTAGCTTTGATCACCAACAGTGTCTGAATCAGAATGAAAGGCTTAAATTTACATATTTGTCGCCACTGTGATGCTATTCAGCGGTAATTGGCAGTTTATGTCTTCAGAATGATGCACAATTGCTATTGTGGTCCTGAAGCTGTCAAATGCAAAGCTCGGGGCTCTAATATGAAAGAAACATCAACACACATTTCTAACTGTTCGTGTTTTGAAACTTGGCACATTATATTGTCTTTTTCAATATATAGTTTGGGAGCAAGTGTTTGGAAATACAGACGGTGCCTTCTTGAATAGCCTGATAGCTTGGATGGAATCCATACACGTTTTATATGGCAGTCAAAGTGGGCAATATATCAGAACATTTTCCTGGTATAAAAAGTGTCATGTAGATGGCAAAAACAGCTAAATTCTTAACATTGCACTGACTGAAAATAAAATCGGATGGATTAAGATACAAGGAAACTTGCAGTGCCCCAAAGGGATGTTGTTATAAAGCTTAATAAAAACGAAAAAGAGTTATAATGGTTTACAGATAGACATGACTTACAGATCGCACAGTTAAATCTTTTTTATCATTGATTATGTGTCTCGTGTTGAAAAAGTATGCTTCCTTCCATCGCAGGAGCTCTTTGCCACAAGTGTACAGTACAATTTTGCAAAGTTTTAATTGGTCGTGATCAGGGCTATGCAATACTGTCTTTCCCCGAAAATAAGACAGGGTGTTATTTTGTTTTGACCCCCAAAATAAGCACTTGGCCTTATTTTTGGGGAGGTCTTATTTTTGAGGTGCAGGAGGTAGCGAGCGTGGTCACCGCATGGCTGCTGCTGTGTTGCAATATTTCTGGGAAGGGCTTATTTACAGGGGAAGGCTTATTTTAGCGCATGCACTCAAAAGCCTGATTGGGCTTATTATCCGTGGAGGTCATATTTTCGGGGAAACAGGGTACTTTGCATTTGTCTTCCGAAAGGTCGTTTGGAAAACATAGGGGCATTTTCCGGGGAAAAGACACATTTGGTTTAAAGTCACAAAACATTACAAATTTACACTCCAAAAAAACTTTTTGATGATTGAATCCAAGGTGAATCCATCATTTTTATTCATTCACAAACGGTTCTCCTTCCAGGATATTGAGAAATGGGATCTGGACAAACTTCTCAAGAAGCTGGAGAAGCAAAACAAGGCTACAAGCTGGCCAGGGGAAGCTGAATCTCCTTCTTTGAGCCGTGGTGAGTTCCCAAAACCATTAGAACGCAACTCAATCTGCAAAAAGTGGTGGAAATGCAACTGAATATCCATAGGGGCACAATGTAATGCTTGAATAGTTATTCCTACTGTAATGTATCCCGGTTCTTCCTGATCATTTGATCTTCCCCAATCTGATGCCCTGAAGATGAAATTCAACTTCAGCTCCCATAATCTTAGCTAACCTGACTGTTGTGATCGAGGCTTCCCAAGAGCATGAAGCAAACTCCTTGTCCCGACAAAAAACCCTTTTATTAATTTCCTGTGAATTCTGCTCATTCACATCCAGCAAAGTCTTTCGAGGGAGGATTTACAGTCACCGACCTTATCTGGCTTAGAGAGCTGCCAGGCCCATATCTGCAAAACTTGGCAAGGAGTCTCGGAGAGTCATGAACCAATTAAGCAAACTAATTGTCTCCTGCAAACTCCACTCCCCTTTCGCTCCTCTTTTATTTCTTCTGGGAGGGGCCATTCATCGTCCCCCTGTGGCCTTACTCCCAAGACGACCCCTGTTCTTAAGCTGTTCCCTTCCTCTGGCAACTCTGCTCATGCACACACTGGGAACAGGCTCCAGCTGTTCCTCTGCCTCACTGATGTCTGACTCTGAAGGCACTGATAACTGGCATATGGCTGTGGCCCCATCTCAGCTCTTGTCAGAGCCTTCCCCAGATTCCAGGACTGGCCCATCTTCCTCCCCAACCTCCTCACTGTTCCCGAATCAGATGCCAGCTCTGCTGGCTGCTGGCGGGCTACAACACTGATTTTACTGGAGAGGGATTATGGGAACTGAAGCCGTTGTTAATACAACTGTTTAGCGGAAGCAATTCTTGGTATTATGTATTCTGCAAATGTATAAAGATTTTGGAAACCTAACTTCTGCAATATAATTTTACCTATGACTCTACAGCAAAACAAATTGGCTGAAAGCTATTAACACTTGCATAGTTTTTCTCCCCAGTGCTCAACTCTCATAAGAAGTATGACTCTTCCAAACTAACTTTCTTTTTTCATTTGAATGAGATAGGGTTGTCATTATACCTTCCTGTAAATAAGGATTTCAAAATGCTCTGTAAATGAGTGAATAATCCATACTGCTTTCCTGATGGGCTAGACGAAAGATATTGGCTTTTCTTTTCCCAGCCAAGATGAAGTAGTTCTTCTTTCCCACCTCCAGAACATTTTAGGGCTGTGACCCAATCAAAGCTGATGGCAAAACTGGAAGAATTGTCTCGTAAGCAGTCGAAGGCATTTCTCTCCCCCTGGCAGAAGCGCCCGCCCAAATCTCCCTGCCTTGACAAATGCCAGGGAGATGCGAGGTAGGTCATTTCTGTTGCCTTGATGGAGCAGGAGAGGGGAGTCTCTCTGGGGAATGTTTTCAGTAACTGAGAATTTCTTTGACTAATGCAAGAGTGTCAAACTCAACGCCTGTGGGCCGCATCCAGCCTGTGGGGTGCTTAAATCTCGCCTGTAGGACTGCCCTGGAAACAGCGAAGGACTGCCCCATGGTGCCAATGAAAACAGACCTCGGGAGGGCTGCGGCCGAAGGTTGCAGGAGGACATCACAGCCCAAAGTGGAGCTCGGGAGCCTGTTTTTGCTGGCAGAATGCTCGAGCCACCACAGGCTTCCCCAACACGTTTGACATTGAGTTGGTCACACACACCCCTGCCCCCTAACCCTAACACACACACACCCAAGTCAAACACAACCCTGGTGCAGCCCTCATTGAAACTGAGTTTGACACTGTTGGCCTGATGCATTGTTTCTCAACCTTGGTGACTTTAAGTCCTGTGGACTTCAACTCCCAGAATCCCCCAGCCACTGGGAATTCTGGGAGTTGAAGTCCACAGGACTTAAAGTCACCAAGGTTGAGAAACACTGGTCTAACTGTTCTTCTTTGAAGTAACAAAGTGAGGAAGTCTTCGTGAGGAATTCCGAGTCTGATAAGAACTGGCTCAAACCTGCCAAAGATTGTACAGTTGTGGGTGCTCCATCGCTGGAGGTCTTCAAAGAAAGAGTGGGCCGCCATGTGTCCAGCCTGGAATAAGGTTTCCTGCCTTGAGCAGCGGGGTTGGACTAGAAGACCTCTGAGGTCACTTCCAGCTCAAGGAGTCTATTCATTTTGTTGTTGTTAGTTGCAAAGTCGTGTCCGACCCATTGAGACCCCATGGACCATGTTCCTCCAGGCCATCCTGTCCTCTACCATCCTCTGGAATCCATTTAAGCTCACACTGACTGCTTCGGTGACTCCATCCAGCCACCTCATTCTCTGCCGGATCTGGCCTTCTAAAGAGTAGTCAGGGTTGATCTCCTCTAGGACTGAACGGTTGGATGGCCTTGCAGTCCAAGGTGACTCCATCCAGCCACCTAATTCTCTGTGGTCCCCTTTTTCTTTTGCCCTCCATCGTTCCCAACACGAGGCTCTTCTCCAGTGAGTCCTTCCTTCTCCTTAAGTGGCCAAAGTCTTTGAGTTTCCTCTTCAGGATCTGGCCTTCTAAAGAGCAGCCAGGGTTGTTCTCCTCCAGGACTGACCGGTTGGATGGCCTTGCAGTCCAAGGGACTCGCAGGAGTTTAACTTTAGAACCTTTTTTGAAATTTAGAACCTCAATATAATATGGAAAGCATGTCTCCTAAATATGAGGATGACCCTTAACAAGATCATACTGAGACTATTATAGGATGCTATGAAATGTTACATGACACATGAGTTACACTACAGAGGAGTCAGATGAGGCTAACCAATGAATATGTTTGAACTGTATATCAAGTCCTGTTTGAGTGAAAGGCCTTCTCCTTCTCCTTATGCATAAATAGAGATATTAATTTTTTTTGGCTCAGCTCTCATTTGGACAAGGCAAACCGGGCTAATAAATCTTGCCAACCTTTATGGCTCACAACCTCGACTGGAAGCATCATTAGATCTGCCCAAATTTTCTTGCTACTGAAAACGTGTTATACAATACTGATAGTCCTCGACTTACAACAGTTCATTTAGTGGCTGTTCAGAGCTACGACAGCACTGAAAAAAAGTGACTTATGACTGTTTTTCACACTTCATGACCATGGTAGCATTCCCACGGTCATGTGATCAAAATTTAGATGCTTGGCAACTGGCTCATATTTTTGTCCCAGGGTCACATGATCCCTTTTCGCAACCTTCTGACAAGCAATGGGGAAGCCAGTTTCACTTAACAATGCTGGCAAGTAAGATTTTAAAAGGAGGCGCAACTCAGTTGACGAATGTCTCACTTAGCAACCGAAATCTTGGGCTCAATTGTGGTCATAAGTCAAAGACTACCTGTACTGTGAGAAGTGAGCATATGTTTTTTTTCTAGGTTATGAACAATACCTTAAGTGATGGGTTTGGCAGTCTCACTCCAAAGAGTTGGAAATGAGGAGCTCAATCCAGGTTTCAACCTAGCTTATACTGAGTCATTTCTGAACAAATTGTATAGAAAGAGGCTATTTTGGCTTGTGCGCTAAATGATATGAGCACTAATAGCAATAGCACTTATATACCGCTTTACAGTGCTTTACAGCCCTCTCTAAGCGGGTTACAGAGTCAGCCTCTTGCCCCCAACAATCTGGGAAGGATGGAAGACGGAGTCAACCTTGAGCCAGTCAGGATTGAACTCCTGTCAGTGGGCAGAATTGGCTTGCAATTTGCATTCTAACCACTGCGCCACTACATCTAATCAGCAGTAGCACTTTGACTTATATTGTTTCACAGTGCTTTTATAGCCTTCTCTAAGAGGTTTACAGAGTCAGCCTATTTGCCCCCAGCAATCTGGATCCTCATTTTACCCACCTTGGAAGGATGGAAGGCTGAGTCAACCTTGAGCCTGGTGAGATTCGAACTGTCAAATTGCAGGCAGCCAGTGATAAGCAGAAGTAGCCTGCAGTGCTGCACTCCAGCCACTGCGCCACTGAGTGATTGAAATAACACTGAAATAATTATTGTAAAAGCAGCGCACAATAGATATTGCAAAAAGTGACTGTTATTTTTTGCTTTCAGAGACCTTTCTGTTTTGGCACCCATAAAAAATGGTCAGAGTTGGATTCCGGCAGCTTTGTGCGTTCCGGAGCCTCCCACTGTATATATTGATTTAAGGGGCACCCTATCTCAAAAGGTTGAATCTTGGACCGATGAAACAGAAAGGTATTAGCAGTGTGTCATTTTCCCGTAATTGTGGGACCCGAAGATGTTTTTGTTTCCTCTAAGATCCGAGCTGCAGCAACGAGTGACGTAGTGTGGGTGCCGGGGGTGGGGTGGGGGGGAGGACGGTACCTCTGCCTCTAAGTTTTGATCCCTTTGCTTTTAAATTGAGACTCGATTAAAAAGAAAAATATAGGAAGTTAACTGTATTTTTCAGAGTATAAGACACACTTTTTCCCCTCCTAAAAGAGGCTGAAAATTTGGGTGGGTCTTATACTCCAAATGTAGCCCCGCCCACTTGTGGGCCCCTCCCCTTCGGCATCCATGTGTCCTCTTCCTTGGCTGCCGAGATTGCCCCCGACAATGCCTTGTGTTTTGGGGCTCTGCGTGCTGCGTTTTCAGCCTACCCAGAACAGCTGCTGCCTTCTCTTACTCCTTCCTCGCTTTGCCTGCTTTAGTCACTGGAGCTCCCACACGGGATCAGCTGTGCTTTTGAAGCTGTTTTTCAGCCCAAACTCTGATCTTCTCTGCTTTGCCTGATTTTTTAATTGCTGCTCCCTCCGACAATCAGCTGTGCTTTAGAAGGACAGCCCCCATCATCCCCAACCTTAAAACCAGCGAGCGAACTAATGTGCTGAAGCTGACCAGGCTAAGGACTAACCAGATGAATACTGGTAGGCAGAATTTCCCCCTCCCTATTTTCCTCCCGAAAAAACTAAGGCGCGTCTTATACTCTGAAAAATACGGTATGTTTTGATGTAGCAGATACCGCTAAGATTTAGAAGGGAGAACAGATGCAGCAGAGGCCACAGGGAACAAACCCACATCGAAGAGATGAACATTAAACATTAAAAAGAGGGAATGCCACTGCTGTGTTCATAGCCTTAAATAATTGATTCAAAGATTTGGAAGGAATTCTCTGAAATGATCTAATTTAAACTCCTGCCAGGTGTATGTTGGTTTTTTTCCCCCATAAATCCTAGGGCTAAACCCTAGCCTGAAATTAGAAGACAGAAGATTTATTGACTATATAGACACCGCAATTACTTATTATTTAAAAGTATGAGGTGCATCATTTGTTTATTTGTATCCACCTTTATATTTTTTACAAATATGGCAACAAAAATATCCAACCCTGCCCCCTCTTCCTATTTTGCCCACAATAACCATCCTGTGAGATGGATTGGGCTGAGAGTGATTGGCCCAAAGTCACTCAGCTGGCTTTCATGCCTAAAGTGGGACTAGAACTCCCAGTCTCCTGGGGAATGGTCCAAAGTCACTCAGCTGGCTTTCATGCCTAAAGCGGGACTAGAACTCCCAGTCTCCTGGTGACTGGCCCAAAGTCACTCTGCTGGCTTTCAGACCTAAGGCGGGACTAGAACTCCCAGTCTCCTGGTGACTGGCCCAAAGTCACTCAGCTGGCTTTCAGACCTAAGGCGGGACTAGAACTCCCAGTCTCCTGGGGAATGGTCCAAAGTCACTCAGCTGGCTTTCAGACCTAAGGCGGGACTAGAACTCCCAGTCTCCTGGTGACTGGCCCATAGTCACTCAGCTGGCTTTCAGACCTAAGGCGGGACTAGAACTCCCAGTCTCCTGGGGAATGGTCCAAAGTCACTCAGCTGGCTTTCAGACCTAAGGCGGGACTAGAACTCCCAGTCTCCTGGTGACTGGCCCATAGTCACTCAGCTGGCTTTCAGACCTAAGGCGGGACTAGAACTCCCAGTCTCCTGGTGACTCCCCAAAGTCACTCAGCTGGCTTTCAGACCTAAGGCGGGACTAGAACTCCCAGTCTCCTGGTGACTCCCCAAAG